CTTAATTTACTTTTGTGAATTAAAAGGAAAAAAAATCTATTGTCAGATAGTAAGGTACTGAGCCAAAAGACCACAAATAGGCTGCGAGAATAGTAAGAGTAGAGACGTGAGGGCCTCAGAAGAAGCCTTGTGTCAGTGAAGTGCACTATTTGGCCAGTTTGAGTTAGAACTCCACTTTCCTGCCCTTCACCAGGCAGTGTGAAACCACCACCACCACCAAGATTTTAGAAGTGAAGGCCCCCTGGGAAGGAAAGCAGAATAAGGATGTGGAGGTGGTGCAGGGGCACTTACCTGTAATCCCAGCGGCTCAGGAGCCTGAGGCAGGAGGACGGAGAGTTCAAAGCCAGCCTCAGCAAGGGCAAAGCACCAAGCAACCTAGTGAGACCCTGTCTCTAAATAAAATACAAAATAGGACTGAGGATGTGGTTCAGTGGCCGAGAGCCCCTGAGTTCAACCCCTGGTACCAATAATAATAATAATAATAATAGTAATGAAGAATGTGGGCAGGAACCAGCATCCCAATAAGGGTCTATTAGAGGAACAGAGAACACCCCCATTTTCACTATGTCTATGGCTCCAGGAGTGGCAGGGCTAGAACCTGGCCTATCTTGATCCCCTCGTGTCCACAGCTTTTGGCCCTCTACCTGGAATATAGCAGATACTCAATGGAAAAAAAAATGATTGAACAGATAAACAACTTAATGAATAAAACAGAAAATTACAAGAAGGCTGTGACCAGACTATCCCTGTTACATGACACAAAAGGAATAGCCATTATCCAGCAAATGTTCACTGTTCTTCATCTAGTTCATGTGTATCTAGAAATCTCTAACCTCTTCAAAATCCTATTATAAATCTATACCTCACAGCAGCCACAATAAAAACCACAGTCATCTATAACCTTAATAGAAGATGCCGTCATCGATAAGAGAGGTAGGAAGGCACACGTAGAGGGAGTGACTCACTTCCTGACGTCTAAACCTGTTTGGTTTCATGAGGAGATTCAGTCACCCTCAAGATCAGTCACATCCACGAGGAAACCTTCCTCTGGGAAAGAGTTTCTTGCTTGTTTCAGACAAATTATCCTATTCACCACTGCCTTTTGAGCATCCTGAATCAAGAACTTACTGGGAAATTTTTTTTAGTTGAAGTCATGAGGCCAAAAACCCTGACCAACAGTCACTGATCCTCAGTCTACTCAAGGGTAACAGGAAAGGCAAATATTCTGGTCAGTTATTTTCATTAACGTCACCTATTTCTCTTCCCACTTTACCCAAAGGAGTTTGGTATAATACAGTCATGGAAGCGTAGTGTAAAAAAAAAAAAAAAAAATCTCTTCAGGACACAGTAGTGTATGCCTGTAATCCCAGTGACTTAGAGGCTGAGGCAGGAGGATCACAAGTTCAAAGCCAGCCTCAGCAAAAGCAGGGTGCTATGCAACTCAGTGAGACCCAGTCTTTAGATAAAATACAAAATAGGGCTGGGGATGTGACTCAGAGGTCGAGTGCCCCTGGGTTCAATCCCTGGTATGCCCCCCACCAAAATAAAATAAAATAAAATGGGCTGGGGATGTGGTCTGGTTTCAATCCATCTCCAGTACCAAAAAGAAAAGAAAAAAAAAACTTAGAACATGTCAAAATGACAATATATTTTAGAACTTATTTTTATTCAAACCTTTTTTTATCCCTCTAGATACATTTACTCTGTCTTAACAACAATCCTCAGAAGCTATTGATAGCAATTGCCCTGGAGCCACTCTGTTCACAACTAGAGAGAATCCAAGACCTGACCCAGAGGAACAAACACCCCTGAACATCCAGGTAGCACCAGAACAGAGCCAGAGTAGAGAACCTGACCAGGAATGCAGGGCCCCTGAGGAAAACTACCTGAGAGGCAGGGATGAGGATGTGGCTCAGGGGTTAAGCATCTCTGGGTTCAATTCCTGATACCAAAACAAACAAACACTTTTATTTAAGGTGTCAAAAAAGAGGGTTATTGAAAAATTCAAAGAGTTATGCTATGTGAGAACTGAGTCTCTTCACAACATAAATAGAAAAGGAGAAAAATCTTCATATTAGTTATCTATTGCAGCATTACAAATTACCAAAAACTTAGTAGTTTAAAACAGAAAACATTTTCTATTTGACACAGTTGATAAGGGGCAGCTTAGCTCAGGGACTGACCCAGGGTCTCTCATGAGGTGGTGGCAGCCATGATATTCCCTGGGCCACAATCATCTGAAGATTGTTTGGAGCTGGAGCATTCACTTCCAAGGAGGCTAGCATGCACGGATGTTGGCTCAATTCCTTGTCACTCAGTTCCTTCTCAAGCCTTGGTGGCTGGTTCCTTTCTCCACCCCAAAGCAAATGATCCCAGAGAGTAATCCAAATGGAAGCTGCAGTCCTTCCTGGCCTAGTCCTCCATCACTTCTTCTATAATCTACTTATTACAAAGGAGTTTCCAAGTACAGCTCGCCATCAAGAGAAGGAGAATTGGGCTCCACCTCTTAAAGAGAGGAGTACAGGACAATTTATGGCCATGTTTTAAAACCCCTGGAGTCTTCAAAGACAATGTGGATTAGGAGAGGGTTGGGCAGTGCAGGGAAAAATATAGCTATGGAATATTCACTATGGGGCTATGTTAGGGCTCATTCAAAAAAGATTAAATGATCCACCCAAAAAAGATTATATTCATGCTACAATAGTGACAAAATGACTTTTGATACAGAGGAAAAAAATGATAATAGAGATTTATACCAGACAGATCAGAAGTTTACAAAGGAGAGAAAACTGTTATTAGACAGAGTAAGAGCTCTAAAAAGAACCTTCTAAAGTTCATAAAAAGTAGAAGGAGGACTGTTATCACACCAGACCCTCCAGACATACCTGACCTTGTCAAGGCCGAGAGGAAACAATGGTGCCAGTACAGGACCTGGCAGATGGCTCTGCTCACTGCAGCTGTAACTGGCCTCCAATTTGAGCTCCCATCCAGCTGAGTAGGAAGTTGCTATCCTGTTCACCTGATAATTAATTAACTTTCTAAAAGTAATTTAGAGGAGGACTCATGCTATCATTATTATTGTTTTTTTCATTTTGGTGTTCTCAGGATTGGTACTGTGTTAGGGGACAAGACATTGTAGGAAAGATAGAAAATTCATAAATAGCCATTGGATGGATAGATCTATCGATGGATGGATAAAACCAGTTAAAACAGAGAAACTAGTGTAATTCTTTCTATGCACTTGGCATGTTTAGATTTCAGTGGGGCAGAAGGTATTGAGCTCATCTTCTTAACCTTGGAATACTGGTAGTTTGCAAGGTTAATAAAGTATACAATGTGATAACCAAATAAGCATTCCTAAGTGGGAAACAATTAAAAATTATTAACAAGGGAATTATTATGTTCAACAATTAGCAAAATTACTTGTTAAGTTTTAAAGATATATTTTAATATCAAATTATTTGTTTGTATTTATTTGTTTCTGCCCATTGCTGCTCTGTTGGGGAGCTAGGGATCTCATACAGTGGGGTGCTGAAATCAGCACCCATAGGCTCACAAGAGTCAATTTTGCAAAAGTTTCATCCAAACTCCATATTCAATGATGCTGTACTGGTAGCTTGAGGACTACAGTGGAAGTATCTACACCACAGTACTTGGCAAATGCCAAAAAAACAAATCAAGTTTGTTGTGAACACTCTGGGGCATTCTACATATTGATTTCAAGTCAACAAGTTCTTGCAAAAAAACAAAAAAAAAAACACCCAGTAAGCAGAGTTCATGCTACAGTGCCTGCAACATAGAGGGTCTGGAGATGTTACCTTCTTCTAGCCCCAACTTTCCAGGTAAAATCAGCTTCCTTTTGGAAATAGATTAAGCTATTATTACTAATTACTTGATTGATTTAAATGCTCAACTTATTATTATTTTGCTGAGCCTATTTTCAAAGCCAGTAAAACTTCACCAAATTTAAACTTTCTGAGTTCTTTTTCCCTTCCTTCTTCTTATGAGACAGGGTCTCCTTATATTGCCCAGATTGGTCTCAAAGTCCTGGGTTAGAGTGATTTTCCACCCCAACCTCCCAAGTAGCTGGGACTATAGGCATATGCTACTGGATCTGCCTCAGATTTTCTGAATTCTTAACATCAGAGAGACAGAAAGATAAATAAAAGAGATCATCCCCATTATTAACTGTATCACAGATTATCTAGAATTACTTTACTCCATCAATATTTGTGAAAATGAATTGTTCATAAAATAACGAATATGAAGAAGAATTAAGCAACATGGACTGAAAAAAGAGGAAGAGATGCTAATTCACAATCCAGAAACAGGTTGCATCAGCTGGTGGATGTACTCCTATAAACCATCCCTAATAACAGTCTGTCTCTTTTCTATTATCTCCGCTATGCCAGTACTAACAGTACAGATAATCGTGCTAGGTGTCTTCCATTTCTCTCTTCACCTCTCTCCATCCTTCTCTGCAACTCAGAAACAGACCTACATGAATGGCATCAATAAGGTTCCCTTGTTGCCTGATCTTGGAAAGAAGGGAGGGAGGAGATAGAAATCAGGGACTTAACCCCCAGATATTTCCCTCCCTGCAGAGTTATGGGGGACTGACTCTACCCCGCCATCAAAGACCACGGATATTTGTCAGGTAGCTCTTCCATGCACCTCCCTCTCTTAAATTCCAATAACCTGCTTCTCCATTGCCTTCAAATCTTGAGTGGTCACAGTGCCTAGCTGTGACAGCTCCAATATATTGCACTACCCCTGGGAGTTGCCTACACCTTGCCAAGAGCTTTATAATTGACCCTTTATTACATTTTATTCCTAGGATTCAATTTCCCTGCACCATCTCTTTTCTGCTGGGTTCTGATTGATATAATAGTACTGGAAAATTCAGAAAAACCATCACTACCAAATCATTGCATGTCTGATGCCTCTGGCACCTCCACATGACTCTGTGCTGCACAAGACTCAAGCTTTTATACTCACCTAAAATATCAGCCAAACAATCAGGAAAACTCCTTGAGCTCTTGTCCTGCCCAGCACCATCCTGGGTACTGTGTCAATGCTGTGTATAAGGAGATCACAGTGGTCAACTTTTTATTTTTCCAAGTTTAACTTCTTTTGAAGTCCAATCTAATTTCTCCCATAGAGCTATACAAATTCATATGGCCATATTAATTTTGATATGATTTTTATTAAAACTACCCATATCAAACTACCATGTTTAAAGTATAGGTTATCAAAAAGAAAATAAACAAAGTCCCCAATTCCTGTATAGCATCAGCATAGAACCAGAACAGAACAGGTTACAGATAGCACAGCAACCTCCAAAAAGTCAAATGCAGAAATCTAAATTCAATAGAGTGTCCTCACTATTTTCATCTAGAACCCTCCTTGAAGCCTAAATGATGAGAGCTTTTTTTTAGTACTTAGCACAAGGCAGATCCTATGTTAAGTGCTTCACCTGTAACATTTCATTCAGCACTTTAAGCAAATCAATGAAATAGGCGTATTATATTAGTATTTCCATGTATAGATGATGAAACTGAGGCTTACCAGGTTATGTTCTTATCCCAAGCCCACACAACTGGCAATGTGTTGAGATTCCAATGCAGGAAGATGGCTTACAAAATCCAAGATCCACACCACTGTACCAAAAATCAAGTTGGGGGCCAAGAGAAGAAAAATCTAACATTTGAGAGGACAATTTTAAAGAGAAAATACTCTGATTTTCCTGTAAAATATTCCTGTTCCCCTTTAAATCTTCAAGGTTACCCACCTGGAGCTGGGAGTTGGGGTGGGAGGATTGTTCTGTATATTACTTTTGTGCTCTGTACAGAATGTCTTCTTGGCCTCAAACTCTGTAAGTTTCTCAAGTTCACTCCCTTCCAGAAGCCTCTATTGTCTTGGTGTGATAAAGGCTTTGTAGTGCTCAAGGCCAGGGAGCATTTATTCTTGTAGTTCCTTATAACTGACAAAGGCAAAAACAATGATTTCAATGCATTTTTTACCTACAACTTCACTCTCCTTTGTGATATTTCAGGTATGCAACAATTAATAGAAGAAGTTCCCCAGGATGTTCTAATTATAAACTTCTTCCCCGGATATAGGGGGAAGTGGTTTATTTCACATAAGAGTATTTTGTAAAACTCAAATTCCAAATTGAGTTGAATATGAATTTAATATTTCACCTAGGTCTTTTCTTGCCCTCTGGAACACAAGCATATACAACTAGAACTTCAAACAGTGGTCATCGGTCATTTCCTCAGATAACCTTAAGAGGTTATAAATCCAATGAGCTAGACTTTGGGTTTGTAAGGACATTATCAACTCTAAAATCCATGAGCTACATTCTAACTCTCAGGAAACTGAATACCCTGCTTCATTTTCTCCCCAACTCTAAGGATTGGGTCATTTTCACTATCTTGGAGCTATTGTAACAAAGTCCACCCTAATGACCTCAGTTAAATTTTTATCTCCAAACAAAGTCACTTTCTGAGATATTTGGGATTAAGATTTGAACATATGAATTTGAAAGAAACACAGTGCAGTCCAAAATAATCAATATTTTACCTACAGTCTATATACTGTGCTTTTCAAATCAAATTATTAATACTTAAAGCAGACAAATAAAGTAACACATCTGTTTTTGACAGATAAAGTCCCTGTTGCTTCAAAAACCATAGTCACCCCCAGCCCACAATATACCAACTAAAGCCTTAAAAAATTTTTTTTGCTTTATTTTCAAATGAACATTTCAAATTCAAATGAAGAAGAACTTATTGAGAACACTAGGGTCCTAAAGTCAGTCCACATACAGAGTCTTGGGTCTAGTCCTTTGGAACTCCCACCAGATTTCCTCATTTTACGGCTTAAGATTCTCTCTGGTGCCCATCTGGTGCCCACCTGTCTCTGCCTCTTAAAGATACTCTTTTTCACTCTTAGAACATTTATGCTTATGGTTTTCTTTTTATATTTCCCAGGGTGACTCTTCCCTGCTGGGTTTTTCCTTCCTATGTTTATCTTCCCCATGGCTTTGGATGAGGTCCACGTGGGCAGACTGAATTGGAAAGAACAAGAGAGTACCAGCCATAGTAAATGAGTGAGCAAGAGGGAGAAACTACATCTCAGAATCCTCATCAACAAAATGTGAGCTATATAACCCACAATATTTATTTCATAGACTTTTGTGAGGGGGGAAAAAAGAGAGATAACAACATTTATTCTAGAAAAAAAGAGCAAGTTGTTTTCAACTTACAAAGGAGCTCTATTACAAAAGTTCATTGACAAGTCAATTACTACGAATTTGGAGCACATTTTCCCAGAAAAACAATATGACAAAGGGTGGTTATATTTACAGGCACTCCATGAGCACCGCCATACAAACCTGAGGTGGACTACAGAGCTGATGTGTCTTAGCACACAGTCCGTGTTCATGTGATATTCACAGAAAAGGGCATCCATGTTCCAGTGGGGGACAATTAGGAATACTCTGTTACAGGGCCAAGGGGCACCTTGCTACATGACTATCTTTAACAGATATGTCTCTGCTTCTCTTACTCATCCAATTAGATAAGAAAATCTGTGCTGGACAGAGAAGGGGATGTATAGTCCTGTGGGTGGGGTATCTTGCAAGTGGAAAAAAAGATTCAGCAACTTAGGGGAAAGAAAGAGAAAAAAATTGAAACAAAGGGATTCAGGAGCTCAGAAGAGATCTTAGAAGCACCTGTTCAAGAGGTCTGATGAAGTCTGGGGACAGTAGCTACTGGTGGGTAGAGCTACCAATATACCCTCAAAATCAGGTTTACAGCCAAATTTATAAACAAGCAGACCAGCTTGTACATTTTTTATGATTTAACAATACTTTGCATATTCATAATACCCTTGAACCAATACTAATGATGTTACATCATTATCAAGATGAATGATAATTCTTTGTGGCAGTAGACTATAAATACCCAGTTAGGATAACGTAACTGACAGCAATCCTAGCTACTGGAGAGACTAAGGCAGAAGAATCACATGTTTGAGACCAGTCTGGGCAACATAGGGACTCTGTCTCAAAATAAAAAATAAATTGGGCTGGGGATATAACTCAGAGGTAGAGCACTTCTGGTTTCAATTCCCAGTACGGAAAAAAAAAAATTGACCCTAGAACCTCATCCAATCTTTTCAGAATGAATGAACAAATACAAGAATCAATTCTGCAGAGGCAGATAATGAAGACAGGCTCAGAAAAAGAACATGGATGTCCATTTTAATTGAAATACTGTTATGTTACCTTGCAAGTGAAGTTCAAAGTCCATCAGTAGGAGACTGCTTTAAAATAAACAGAAATTCTAAAGGTATTGATATTAAAAAAAACTTTTAAAGTATATACATTCATGTTAAAGATGTGTGTATATATGCATATGTTCAAGATATATAAAGTGATAAAGGAAAGGGGCCAAACAGTATGTATATGTGTTTCAAGAAACTATAACAGTCCTGAATAAATAGATATTCTTGGGCCGGGGATACAACTCGGTGATAGAGCCCTTGCCTAGCATGCCTAAGCCCCTGTATTTAATACCCAGCACTTTGGAGGAAAGAGAAATTTATACACACACACACACACACACACCACATGCATATACATATTCTTGATATAGAACAGACTTCTAAAATGATATCAGGTATGGTTACTTCTGAAGAACTGAGATATGAATTGATGAAAATGCAGAGAGATAAACTTTAGTGGTGTTTTGTTGCTGTTGTGTGTTTTGGTTTTTGCTTTGTGTTTCTGTGATATTGGAGATTGAACCAGGGCTGCCCTACTACTGAGCTGCATCTTCAGCCCTCCTGGGAGTCCCTCAAATTTGTAGTGCTCCTGCCTTGGAGCACTGCCACCCCCCCACACACACCCAGTCTCTAGGATCACCAGCATGTGCACGATGGCACCTGGAAACTTCACTGTTTTATCCTTCTATGTTGAATTTTTATCACAATCAGGAGTTGATTTTTTGTTATTGTAGTAAAATACACCCTATGTAAAACTTATCACTTTAACCATTTTTAAGTGTACAGTTGAGCAGCATTAAGTGCATACATTTGCATTGCTATCCAGCCATCATTGCTATCCATCTCATCTGCCCAAACTGACACTTTTTATTCATTAAACAATGACTCCCCACTCTCCCTTTCCCCAGAGCAATAACTCTCATAACTGAAGAAACTAGCATAGAAAAACTCTTCCCACACAAAACATCAATACTAAATTAACTGATAACAGAGCTATCTTTAGAAGTGACAAACATACTTAATCATTTATTGTTAGATATAATTTGATAATAAAGTCATGCCGTAAAGTGAGACTAACAAGCAGGTTTTGTAGGTTCTCTGGAAATAATAATCAGACACTGTTTTTGAAACAGGAAATTTCATAACACAATATCAGATTGAGTATTCATCTGTCTACCATTAAAGTATGATTTATTAATCATTCTTGATGGGGTTTTTTCCACCTCCTAATTGTCCTGACACATGATCATTGCGACATCCATACAGGATGACTTGGAAAGCACCACAAAATCAAAGTATCACTATGTTAATACATCCTAAATGCTTTAGTCACCCTTTCCAGGTCCCTTTTCTCCTTCCTTCTTCCTAGTTACATTGGGAAGGAAGAGAAATTTCATTTACACAAATTTGTGTTAATTTCTTCTGAAAACAGAGCCTGGATGCAATTCACACTACACACATGCTACACATGTGCAGGTAACCCCCTGAGAGGGGACAACAAGCCAGAGGCAGGAGTGGGCAGGTAGGGTGAATGTGAGACAGCAGGTGGTATAAAAGGGGAAGAGACTGAAAGGCCCCAGAGCAGGAATGCTGCCAAGAGCGTCTGGGGCACAGATCTAGGCAGCAATGCTCCTGGTCAGAAGAACCAAGATGCAGTTCAGGATTGTGAGAGAGGGCAAAGCAAAGATTAGTGTCTGAGTAGCTGAGGGGCCTGGGACAGCAGGTCATCTGGATCTAGCATTCACCACTAAGCTAATAGGATGTAAATGTTCTCAGGATGTCTTAGTCTTCATTTTTTTTTTGCCACATATGAAATAAAAGGAAGTTAGCAGTTTATAAAATCAATATACAAAAATCAGTAGCTTTCCTGTACATCAATAATAAATCCAATGAGAAAGAAGTCAGGAAAAGAATTCCCTTCACAATAGCCTCAAATTGATTAATTAATTAATTGCCTAGGCATAAATCTAATCAGGGAAGTGAAAGATTGCTGTAATGAAAACTAGAACACTGAAGAGAGAAATTGAAGAAGACACAAGAAGATGGAAATACCTCTCATGTTCATGGATAGGCAGAATTAATGTTGTTAAAATGGCTATACTACCCAAAGCAATATACAGTTCAATGCAATCCCCTTCAAAATACCAATGGCATTTTTCACAGAACTAGGAAAAACAGTCCTAAAATTCATTTTGAAGAATAAAAGATGCAGAGATGCAGAATAGTCAAAGCAATTCTAACCAAAAAGCAATGCTGGGGGCATCACAACACCTGACTTCAAATTATTCTTCAGAACTATAGGAACAAAGACTGCATGGTACTGGCATAAAAACAGACACATAGACCAACAGTACAGACTAGAAGACACAGAGACAAACACTCACAAGGATCAGTCATCCGATCCTTGATAAAGGTGCCAAAGACATACATTGGAAAAAAAAAAAAAGCAGTCTATTTAACAAATGTTGCTTGGAACACTGGTTATCCATAAGTAGAAGTATGAGACTAGTCCCTTATGTCTCATCCTGAAAACTGTAATCCCAGCACTGAGGGAGGAGGATAACAGGTTTTAGGCCAACCTCAGCAACTTAACAAGGCCCTGAGCAATTTAGCAAGACTGTGTCTCAAAATAAAAAATAAAAAGAGCTGGGGTTATAGCTCAGTGATTCAGCACCCCTAAACTCAATCTTCAG